GTCCCAGAGGTAATTCAGGATCACCTGTCCGCATACCTTTGTCTATATGCTTGTCTCCAAAATTCTAACTTTGGCTTGCTCACATAACAACATCCACATTCACAAAGAAGTTAATATATCACTCCTGCATGCTCGACAATTGGCAAAATGTTTGGATTTAAAAAGAACCCCATTTGGTAATCTAAGTTTTCTCCAGATCATGGTTGTCCATACATGGGCAGATTTCCTCTTGAGAACATCTTCCTATAGCGAAACGTGTCAGACTGGGACTAAAGCAGACGTCATCATGCAGCCAGTCTGTTTGCAATGCAGCTCTGTTTGCTTATTATATTGTGAGTACCTCTTCAGTGTGAATAAAGTGATGTATGCGGTTTTACACTATGTTGCTCTTGTAATTCATGTGCTGCAGAGGCCTGTGGTTCCCTATGTTCAATCCAAATAGGAGTGCATAGTGTACAGGCCTTTAATGGAAACGCGCCATTTGACCTCCTATAACGTGTGGTCTATTACTCGGGTAAGAGGCTGGTATTTATGTGTGGTGGAGGAGTCACATACAAGCCACAGATGAATTTGTCTGCTCACTGAAGATTTCTGTTTCAACACTATTTGCACAAATTGCGGTGTTTGCACATTTATGGAATGAATTTTATTCTATGATACGTTATGAACTTTTATATTGATAAATTATTTATTTGCACATTTTGTACATATTATGAGGTTTTATTATGAATTGTACAATGACGGTATTTGCACAATTGAATTGAGTTCTTAAAGGTGCAGCATAACCATATTTGGTTTTAGATTTCACATAGAGAAAAGTGGCTGACAAAATACCTACTCATCCTTGTCTGGTCTGCCTCACAGATAGCCAGATACATTGGCAGCTTCACACATGGTAAACACAGTCTCTCTGTAAAGAAGGAAGGATCACACAGCGTTTCCAAGCACCTGGAATATCTATCTCCTAGTGGTAATAAACCCAATAGCAAACATTTATTATACTGCAGCTTACCAATTCTTAGACGTGGTAGATGCATTCATTTTCTTTTTTAGGTTTTATTTCCCTTATTTTCACCTGGTGATCTGGCCAGTAAGTCTGTTGTTTTTCAAAAGAACACGCTCTCCTGTAGATGTATCAGTTAGAAGGATAAAACAAATCATTTAACACTGACGGGTGCTTACAGTGATCTGTTTTTTATGAATGTAAAAATCTTTATCCCAAAGGGAAGAAAACCTGTTACTGTAACTGTTTATAACATGTGAGCTGGAGTTTGGCTTACATTTGTTATTGTATCTAAATCTGCTAGTTAACCTAACACTTCCCTACCCCCAGATTAACTCCTTGTTGCCGACGCCTCCCGGCCCTTTAAGGGTTCCAGAAGCTGGGAGGCGGGGCAGGGATTTAGGGACATGTGACCTCGGTGATTTGCTGTCATGGCAGTCACATGATCGGGAAAGGTGCTGATCTAAAGAGGAGATCGGGACCTTTCCGTTAGTACCAAACGTGTGTGCTGAGGGCGCGCACTCTCAGAACATATGTGTTTTTTTAATAGAACGCAAATGTGGGGCCGCTCGGCGTCTAGGGCCGGCACCAAGAGGTTAACAATTCTGCTGTCCAAATGTGCCCCCTGTGCCTGTGTCCCCTTGCCTGAGATTCATATTGGCTCATTGGATTGGGACAGTAACAATTTATGTCAAGCCTAAAGCATTACTTTGGATACAGGGACCCATGATAATCTGGAATGATTGCTCTGGACTTGCTATTAGTATTAATACCTGTAATCTTTGTTGCAAAGATCACGCCATAACACATATTAGCCTGATCAAAAAATGTGCTACAGCCCTTCATATTCACATTTTTTTTATCAGAAATAATAATTATTGAAAAAAGAAAGCATAGTTTAACAGGAGAGCCTCAGTTCCTGTTCTCTATACAGAGTGAAGCTCAAGTGAGTGATTTTATGTGTTTGAACTTTTCTGAATTCAGTGAATTCCATACTACAGTTTCAAATACAACCTGTTAATCTAGAACTTCATATTCATGCCTCCAGTACATGGTAAATCCCATAATTATAATGTATATAAAAGTTTATGTCCGCACCCTCCTTATTTCCTCCTAACTGGTCATGTTAAATGTCTTCTAGTATATGCAACTATGTTTCGTGACACACACCATGCTCCCATTAAACTGTGATTAATGTCCATGCCACCTAACTAATAGTCTTCTGTGTTGTAGTAAGTTTCTACAGGACAAGATTTCCATTTGAAGTTTAATACTGCCCTCTACTGGCAACAATAAATGTTTCCTTACAGTGACACAAACCATTGAGTACTGTCTGTGATTCTTCTATGTGCACTAACAGCAAATTTTCAGGACAAGCTTTTGGGGTGTACTCAGTGCTGGATTACCAAATAGGCAGAGCAGGCACCAGACTATAGGCCACATGCTGTTTAAGGGCCCCGCAATAACAGATCAAAATGATACTGATTCAATCTCCTAGATTGTGAGCTCGAAAGAGCAGGGCCCTTGAACCCCTCGTGTATTGTATTGTTACTGTATTGTCTCATGTACTGTCCCCCACTATAATGTACAGCGCTGAGCAAACCTTTTGGCGCTATATAAATACTGTATAATAATAATAATAATAATCTTGAAAAATAATTAAAGTGAAGCTTTTCTAAATTAAAAAACTCAAAGAAATGAAAATTCTACATTAAAGACTCTATAGAGAAAATAATGTATTCATGTAATGTACCCAATAACAAATCAAAGTAAATAAACCATAGACATCAGGTTCACATTACAGTTCCCTATTAAAAGTTCACCTTCTTTCAGCTGTCACGTAAAAAAAAAAATTGGTGCAGCTTATGTATGTGTACTGTTATCCCTCTAGAGCACATGCGTGAGAAACCTCCAGAAACCTACAGTGGGGGAGGGGGGGGGGTCAAGGTTAGGCCCCAAAGTAGTGTGCATAAATAGGTGTCACCAAATTTTTTTACAAACCTTATGTCTATGGTTTATGTATTTTAAGTTGTTATTGAGTACATTACATTAATACAGTATACACTCTATATAGTCTTTACAGTGGATGTAAAGGCTCTAGGTTTTTTACCTTCATGCATTATATACGTGAAGGTAAAAAAAACCTCCTGTGTGCAGCAGGACCCCCCTCCCCCAGCTCGCTCCTCAATAACTACCCCCAGCTCCTGCTACTGTCAATCACAGCCAGTAAGCCAAAAAAGGGAGAGTGGGGGCGGGCCAGGGCTAAGCCACATTTGTGTGTGAATGGTCACACAAATCAGTGGCTCAGGAGCAAGCCAGCTCAGGTGCCTCCATAGCAAACTGCTTGCTGTGGGGGCACTTGGCAGGAGGGAGGGGCCAGGAGTGCAGGCGTGGCACCCGAGAAAAGGATCATCAGGACTGCTCTTTGAAACACCATTGCACAGAGCAAGAAGGTCAAGTAAGTATGACATGTTTGGTATAAAAAAAAAATAATAATAATAATAAAAAAAAAAAATATATATATATATATATATATATATATACTGCTCAAAAAAAATCAAAGGAACACTTTTTAATCGGAGTATAGCATCAAGTCAGTTAAACTCCTGGGATATTGATCTGGTCAGTTAAGTAGTAGAGGGGGTTGTTATTCAGTTTTAGCTGCTTTGGTGTTAATGAAATTAACAACAGGTGCACTAGATGGGAAACAATGAGATGACCCCCAAAACAGGAATGGTTTTACAGGTGGAGGACAATGACATTTTTTAGCCTACTCATCTTGTCTGACTGTTTTTCTCTAATTTTGCATTTGGCTAGGGTCAGTGTCACTACTGATAGCATAAGGCAATACCTGGACCCTACAGAGGTTGCACAGGCAGTCCAACTCCTCCAGGATGCCATACATGCCATTGCCAGAAGGTTTGCTGTGTCTCCCAGCACAGTCTCATGAGCATAGAGGAGATTCCAGGAGACAGGCAGTTACTCTAGGAGAGCTGGACAGGGTTGTAGAAGGTCCTTAACCCATCAGCAGGATTGATATCAGCTCCTTTGTGCAAGGAGGAACAGGATGAGCACTGCCAGAGCCCTACAAAATGACCTCCAGTAGGACACTGGTGTGAATGTCTCTGACCAAACAATCAGAAACAGACTTCATGAGGGTGGCCTGAGGGCCCAACATCCTCTAGTGGGCCCTGTGCTCACTGCCTGGGACCATAGAGCTCAATTGGCATTTGCCATTTAACACCAGAATTGGCAGATCAACCACTGGCACCCTGTGCTTTTCAAAGATGAGAGCAGGTTCACCATGAGCACATGTGACAGATGTGAAATGGTCTGGAGAAGCTGTGAAGAACGTTATGCTGCCTGTAACATCATTTGGAGGTGGGTCAGTGATGGTCTGGGAAGGCATATCCATAGAGGGACACACAGACCTCTACAGGCTAGACAATGACACCCTGAATGCCATTAGGTATTGGGGTGAAAACCTTGGACCCATTGTCAGACCCTACGCTGGTGTAGTGGGTCCTGGGTTCCTTCTGGTGCACGACAATGCCTGGTCTCATGTGGAGAGAGTAAGCAGGCAGTTCCTGGAGGATGAAGATGAAGGAATTCATACCACTGAATGGCCCCCACACTCGCCTGACCTAAATCCAATAGAACACCTCTGGGATATCATGTTTAGTTCCATCCAACGCTGCCAGGTTGCACCTCAGACTATCCAGGAACTCAGTGATGCCCTGGTCCAGATCTGGGAGGAAATATCCCAGGACACCATCTGTCATCTCATTAGGAGCATGCCCCGATGTTGTCAGGCATGCATACAAGTACGTGTTTTCAAAGTGTTCCTTTAATTTTTTTGAGCAGTATATATATATATATATATATATATATATATATACACACTCTATATTGACAAAAGTATTGGGGCGCCCCTCCAAATCATTGAATTCAGGTGTTCCAATCACCTTCATGGCCACAGGTGTATAAAATCAAGCACCTAGGCATGCAGGCTGCTTCTACAAACATTTGTGAAAGAATGGGTTGATCTCAGGAGCTCTCAGTGAATTCAAGTGTGGGACTGTGATAGGTTGCCACCTGTGCAATAAGTCCATCCATGAAATTTCCCTGCTACTAAATATTCCACCGTCAACTGTAAGTGGTATTATAATATGGCCACATAAAATGACAGAGCAGGGTCAGTGCGCAGAAGTTGTCAACCGTTTGCAAAGTCAATAGCTAAAGACCTCCAAACTTCATGTGGCCTTCAGATTAGCACAACAACAGTGCGTAGAGAGCCTCATGGAATGGGGTTTCCATGGCCAAGCAGCTGCATGCAAGCCTTACATCACTAAGTGCAATGCAAAGATGCAGTGGCGTAAAGCACACCACCACTGGACTCTAGAGCAGTGGAGACATGTTCTTTGGAGTGACCAATCACACTTCTCTGTCTGGCAATCCAATGGGAATGTCTGGGTTTGGCTGTTGCCAGGAGAATGGTACTTGCCTGACTGCATTGTGCCAAGTGTAAAGTTTGATGGAGGGGAGATTATGGTGTGGGGTTGTTTTTCAGGGGTGAAGCTTGGCCCCTTAGTTGCAGTGAAGGGAACTCTTAAGGTGTCAGCATACCAAAACATTTTGAGCAATTTCATGCTCTCAACTTTGTGGGAACAGTTTGGGGATGGCCCCCTCCTATCCTACCATGACTGCTCACCATTGGACAAAGCAAGGTCCATAAAGACATGGATGAGCGAGTTTGGGGTGGAGGAACTTGACTGGCCTGCACCTCAACCTGATAGAACACCTTTGTGATGAATTAGAGCAGAGACTGTGAGCAAGGCCTTCTTGTCCATCATCAGGACCTTACAAATGCATCTCTGGAAGAATGGTCAAACATTCCCATAGACACACTCCTAAATCTTGTGGACAGCCTTCCCAGAAGAGTTGAAGCTGTTATAGCTCCAAAGGATGGGCCGAATCAATATTGAACCCTATAGATTAAAACAGGGATTCCATTAAAGTTCGTTAAAGCTCATGTGCGTTAATACTTTTGGCAATATAGTGTACATATGCCTTTACAATCACTTTAATGCAAAGTTTTATTTTCTTTAAGCTGATTCATTTTTTCTATCTTCTGTAAACAATTTCAGAAAGCTTCATTGTAATTTTCTTTCAAGATCAAATCAATATTATTTTGATTCACTGTCGCAGGTCCCTTAAACAGAGAGGGCCAATACATAATCTGGCAATGGCCATACTGAAAAAGAAACAAATGGGAACATAGACAATAAAAAGTTAGGGAGAAAAGATGGGGAAAACCAAGGAGTGGGGTTGATCAGTGACACAAAAGAGAATCTACCCTGTCTGAAAAGGCTAAGTATACTGTATATCTAGAAGGCTTTTTTTTTTTATAACTCTGTTCCTGTTAAAAGTGTTCCCCTTACTTCCTATCCCAATGACAACTTTGTTACTAGGACAGGAAGTGATAGAAATTCTGCCCAGTAGGATCACAGACAGCAATAACACGCAAACAAAAGCTCTTACTCTTCCCTATTCTACCTATAACCAGGGGCGGACTGACCATTTGGAAACTTGGGCACTGCCCTGGGTCAGTAGGGGGCCCCATGAGATGCCCCTGGTACCTTTTTCATAGGCTTTTTTGAGTTTGGGCAAGGACACAGGGGCCCCATGATCCCCTATTGCCTGGGGCCCATGAGTTGTCAGTCCACCTCTGCCTATAACATAAAAAAAATGTTGGTTGTGGTTATCCTTTAAAATGTTCCTTGCACCATCACCCCCAGGTCAACTTTGCCATTAAAAAATGTCACAGTTACTCCTTTAAAAAAAAACTGTGGTGAAAAGATAACAAAACATACTTTGTCATGTGTCACCATGTTTCCAGGTTACATTTCTTGCAAAAATATTTAAGCATATTGTGCACATTCGTAATTGTACTCCTAATTCAATCTACCTATTTTATGTCCTGCTGCACCGCTCCTTAAATTCACAGCCGTTGCCGGTGCTCCCTCTTCTCCCCTGCAGTTGGACATTCACCGACTCAGGGGAGCCAGAGCTGTGGGATCATGTGCCATGCCAGAGCAGGCTGAAAATAGGTAGGTTAACAGATCATTTTTAAACAGGGTAGACAGGATAGGTAGCAGGAGGGGGAGGGGACATTTTAAGAATAGTTATGGTTAGATATAGGAATTCCACTTTAAGAAGTACATTGGTGTCATCTGCCTACTGTCTAGAAAATGAGACAGTCTATGTGCTATGCTGCTTTACACCGATGACAGCAGTGCAATAAAGCCTAACTGACACCGATGACCTTTCTTTTGCCAGTCTAATTTTGCTTGGCTGAGGAATACAGGAAGCTGATATAAAAATATTTTCAGGCACTTGTAGCACCTGTATTTAAATATGCTTTTGATCATTTCAGTGAATACATGACTGCAATAAATGGTATCTACTGGTGTAAACTCAACTTAAGCTAAATAGAAAATACAAGCTGTCATGCCAATTTGCTCCAAAGGACCCTGCCAGTTCAGGATGCAGATATGTCATATTGCAATGATAAAGTCTTACAGGTATTTGCAGTTAGTAAAACTAGACAAGTATTTAAGACATTTTACTAACATTTACCCACAAATATGCCAAGGATAAATACCTAGTAAAAAACGTAAACCTTAAACTGAGTTATGTTTACTGAAAACAAAGTCCACTCTATACGTTAGATAATGGAGCAATCATAATCACACGTATTTATTCTGAATTCAGCTTGGTATGTAAACCCTGACTGTCTCAAATGAACTCTGGAGAATTAGGAAAGACAGCTCAACAATATCCTGAATGAGCCACGAATGTGTTGATAAGCTACGCTGGCTGGTGAAGGGTTAAAAGGCGCACGGACGGGACTTCTGTATAAAGCAGACCTTTCCACTTGTACTAAATTACAGACCACACAAAACGTCCTAATAGAAGCCAGCTGGTTGGGCCCTATGTCACCAATAGCATCTAAGGTCTGAATTATGTCTATTTCTATTTCAAGTCCTCCAGCCCAAAAGCCACAGCCACAATTTGCTCACAGCCCATACAGTTCTTCTCTTTTAACCTGTACAGTACTGAAAGGCTTGTACTCTAGTAAAAAAAAAAAGTCTTTGTGATATTTCTACCTATAAATGCAAGTCGGTTTTCTGAAACCACTAACATAGCATAGACTGTTCAGAAAATGAAAACATACTGTATTAATATATCTTGATAGAATATGAGGTTTATAAATAGTAAAAGTTTAAGGAAGGCAAGTCATTCTATATATTTTAGTATGACCTTCAAAAATATAATTTTGTTAAAATTAGGAATTATAATATTAACGAAATTGATAATGATGAGCAGTTGGATATCTGTCTGCCTCACATTATTAGCAACATTACCTTTACTTTAAAAGTGGCTTGTCTACATAAGGAAACATAGTGAATGGTAATATGAAGTACTACAACAATGGTTTCAGAAACATCCAAAACTGAACCCCTGAAGCTGAATTCCAGACAGATAATAAAAAAGTCTAGTTTTGTGGTCATTAAAAATCATTAAACTAGACTTTGTACTAAAAAGAAAAAAGCAATTAAAGATACTTACTGCAAACCCAAGATTCCAGCCTTCTAGACACTAGTATTATCACTCAGTTGTACACCAACTTATTGGGAAAGCTGAAGATCCTAAAGTATGACACAGTATGGTTGTACAGTGCAGATTTGGGATCCTCATCTTTCCCAGAATGTTAAAGTGGAACTTCACTGCATCAGAGAACCACAAACCAAAAATGCTGTTTGCTCCATTTTTAACATTCAAAGTTAACTCCCCCATCCATGTCTCTGTGCATAATTTTGCTGAGAAATCACATAAAAAAACACACCCCTCCCTTACATTTCTGGCCGTGGCCATCTTGAGTAAGGGCAGATGATTCATGTAGCATTTACTTCCTGGAATCCATCTGTCCTTAGCATATGCATGCAGGCAGAAGGGTGTGCTTAGCTAAGAAAGCCCCTCCTCCCTTCCTGGTGACTCCTGGGATGTATGACATTTTTTGCCTAGGCAATCAGGAAGTAACTGAAGAAATGTAAAAAGAAAGAAAAAAGTTTAAAACAAGTAAATATGATATAAATTCCTATCTATTTACCAATGCTAGCAGCAGAAGTATTAAAAATAGTCAGTGTTGACTGAGAAGGTGAAGTTCCACTTTAAGTAAGGTTGCATAGCATCAGTGTCCATTAAGCAGAAAATTCTTGGTCGTTAATTTTTTGCATTAGTGTGCCAGGTACAACTCGCGATTTTCGTATCACAATCGAAAGTGCCTGATCCAACATGTTGGATTTTGTTTTGAAAAACTAAACAAATGATGGCAATGTCATGTCTATTGACAGTACATTCAGTTTACGACTCATCTATGGCCTGTCTTAGGCAAACAGGTCTGTAATAAGCATCTTTTACTTTTTTTAGTTTTTATGTAGCAATTTTAATTTTTTTTAGAGGGGGATGCTAATCAATTGGCTAGAAATTATTTTTATTGCAAGGCCCCCTTTAAATGCATTTCTGCAAAGAAGTATCACAAGTATTTAAATATGTTAGATCCCTGTAGTGCTCGACATAGCATCACTCATACTGGGAGAAAGAGAGACATTACACTTGAACAATCTGAACTCTTGCTTAACCTCTTTGCACCCGCTGCACGCAAATGTGCGGCCTCCCAGCGTCTGGGCCTTGACACCGAGTGGCCGCACATTTGCGTGCAATTAAGAAAAACATATGTGCTGAGAGTGTGCGTCCTGCACGCTTCCAGCACACAGGTCCGGTACTCAGGTCCCGATCTCCTCTTTCGATTGGGACCTTTCCTGATCATGTGACCGCCGTGACGACGAATCACAGCGGTCACATGACCTTAAAACCCCGCTCCCGGCTTCTGAAACCCTTTAAGGGCCGGGAGGCTCTGGCGCCAATGGGTTAAAGAGCACTTGCTTGCAAGGAAGAAGAACAGGGGATGACCTGCAGGCCTTCTGTGATTGAACAAGGTGGAGAGGTGGGGGTGGTGACATCAAGCTGTCCACATCGTCCAATCATTATTATTATTTTTTATTATTATACAGGATTTATATAGTGCCAACAGTTTGCGCAGTGCTTTACAAAATGAAGGTAGACATTACAGTTACAAAACAATTTGGTACAAGAGGAAACAGAGGACCTTGCTCGTTAGAGCCTACAATCTAGGAGGAAGGGTTGAGTGATACAAAAGGTAATAGCTGTGGGGGGATGGGCTGATGGAGGAAAATAAATGGCGGTTTACTAGGTAGAAGCAGGAATGACTTCTTTAAATGGAAAGGTTTTCAGGGATCGTCTAAAGGTGGATAGATTAGGAGACAGCCGGACAAATTGGGGTAGGGAGTTCCATAGGATGGGAGAAGCTCGGGGAGAAGTCCTGGAGGCGAGCATGGGAGGAGGTGACATAGGAACTAGAGAGCAGAAGGTCTCGGGAAGAT